TTATTAATTTAATTGATACCCTTAAAGAATCTATTTTTGGTTTGATTTCCTCAAACACTTTTGTTTCCTATTTTGTTATCTGCTCTTTATCTGCTTACTTTGTATTTCACTTGCTTATCTCCTATTTTTTTTTTTTTTAGGCTGAAAGATGAGGTCATTGATTTGAGGTCTTTTCTAATATAGTTCTAGAGCTATATATTTCCTCCTATTACTTTAACTTTAACTCACAATTTTGATATGTTTTTGTTTTCATTCATTTAAAGATACTTTCTATTTCCCCTTTTGTTTTCTTTTCTAACTATTAAATTGTTTAAAATTGTGGTTTGTTTCTAAATATTTGGGGACTTACTATATGTCTTTATGTTATTAATGTAAAGCCTAAAATTATAAAACTTCTAGAAGAAAACTAGGTAATAATTCTTTGTGACCTTTTGTTAGGAAAGAGTTCTTAGGTAAAACATCAAAATCATAATTCAGAGAAGAAAAACTTGCTAAATTAAACATTTAAAAAATAATGTATAAAAAAATTTCAAAACTCAATAACAATAAAGTAAGAAACCCAATTTTTTAAAAAAGAGCAAACAATTTCAAGAAACCATTCATTCACTGAAGAAGATATGCAGTTGTGGTGCACACACACAAAAAGATGCCTACCATTTCAAGGCACTAAATAAATGTAGATTAAAGCCACAATGAGTTACCTCACTGTACATCTATTTGAATGTTTAAAATTAAAGACAAAATGAGCCAAGTCATGGCAAGGATGTAGAGCAACTGAACTCAGAAGTAAAATGGTACTAACACTTTAGAAAATAGTTTGACAGCTTCAAAAACCTTACCCATATACCTACCATGTAGCCCAGCTATTTCACTGCTAGGTAATTAGCCAAGAAATGAAAACATGTTTACTGGAAGACTTTTAAAAGAAATGTTCATAATAGTTATATTTGTAGCCGCCAAAAGCTGGAAACCACCCAAATTTGCATCAACAGGTAAATGGGTAAGTTGTTACATACAGTGAGATTATATTGATATAATGATCCATTGATACAATGAACTATTACTTGGGAATAAAAATGGAATGGGCTCTTGATGTAAGCAATAATCTGGAAGATTAAAGAAACCGGACAATAATACTGAATGACTCTATTTATATAAAGTTCTAGAAAATGCAAACTATAATGAAAAAAAGCGAAACAGTGGTTGCTCGGGGAATAGAGATGGGCAGGGGCAGGAGAGATTACAAAGGGGCAGCAGGAAGCATTTGGAGAGGGTGGATATCTTGATTGTCTTCTTGGTGATGGTGTTGCCCAAGTCAAAACTTAAATTGTATACTTTAAATATGTGCAATTTATATATGTCAATGATATGACAATAAAGATGTGTAAAAAGGTCCTCTCCAAAATTTTTCCTTTAAATTAGAAACAAATGGAAATGCCAGCACTAGAAAGAACAGACTTGTTGAGAAATGTCAGGATAACCATACAACTTGCCTAAGACTCTGGCAACAGCATTACCCTTCCAGTCTTTTCCTTATGAACTTTAGGCTGCAGGATGAAATGAACAGCACAGAAAAAATTCAAAGATCCTGGGTCTTCTACGAGGAAGAGAAGTTGCTTAAGGTTCCAGGCCACTAGGCCACTAGGTCTGCACCAAAATCTGCATGTTCTTTCCTTTGAAATTTGACCGTACGTGATTGCATGTGGCCAGACATTTTTACAATCTTTCTTTCTTGTAGTTAGGTGGAGCCATGTGGCTCTTCTCAGCAACAGAAGGGGAGCAGAAATTATAAATTCCATATATGAATAAGGGTTTAAGAAGCAAATTGTCTCCCCAGTTGTCCTTATCCTTCTGCTGTCTCAATGCTGATGCAATACTGTCCTGGGGGATGGCAGAAACACAGATGGGAGAAAACTAAGCCCACGAATCCCATGTAGAATAGTGTCACTCACCCACTAGTCCCACTCATATTAGATTTTTACATGAACAAGAAATACATTTCTTTAGTATTTGATCCATTATGTTTTTGGATTTATTTTTTTCATAGCACTTGAGCTTACTGCATCACAACAAAAATGTCAAGGTCAGCAGCCTCTGCCCAGATTCTCCCAGGGGAAAGCCAGGAATGCAAACTCATTCCACTCATCCTAGTAATTCTCCCCCCAACTCACCTACAGCATCCCAGCTGTCAGTTTGATTTCCCTATTATCTAAGGTCAATTTCCTAGATACCTCCATAGGAAGAGGACAGCTGGGCTAACTCCTCTAGCCTGGAACTTACTATAAGGCAATACAAGTGGGAAGGACCAAATCACTCACAGATTCTTTTCCCCTCATCTCTTATCCCCCAGCTTCCACCAGCTCTATGGATACTGGTTTATCTGCTCTGTCTCCTTTCATATTTCTTCCAACTGAAGTCTGTATCAGAATGAGGAGTGTGCATTTGGCCTCTGGTCTCCTGCTCCACTGCGTGGTGGCTAGACCCGGCAAGCCACCGCGGAGTGCTGCTGGGGTCACAGCTCCTCCCGGCCAGGCAGCGACCGCTGCGAGCCGGGAGAAAGAGTGCGCCGCAGACACTTCTCTGTTTGCCGGGCGAGCGGACGGGGGCACTTCCCTCTTACTGGAGAAGGCGGTGGCACAGCTCTCTAGTAGGGAAGGCCCTGTCACCCTTTGTCCCAAGGCTTTCACTGACAATCTTATCAGTGGGGCTAGGTAACAGGAATGCATGTTATCTCATTACATTAGTATGTTAACTTTCACAGAGAATATATGATCCTTTTAAGAAAACAAGTGACAGGAATACACTGATTTACATGGGTCTGAGAGGACACTAGTATCAACAATAGAGACTAAAGATAAGGGGAAAGTAGACATAAAGGTGTCTTAAAGAGATAGCATAAGGGGTGTAAATAATGTAAATGTCCTTCACAGCATGAGCTGACCAGACTTTGAGGGAAGAACAAAGCACACTCTCAAGAATTTACTTTTAGGCCTGATTTCCCCAGGACCGCCAGATCTGATTTAGGGCTGATTCTTGCACTGTTTCAAATCTGAGCCAGGCAGGGGAGGGAACCTCCAAGAGAACGGGAGACGGCTTCTCGGCTATAATGAGAACTCTGGCCTTGTCCAAGCCAAGCCGAGAGGTTTGTGTGGGCCTCTTTGCCCCTTCTCTGTGTCCCCCAAATTCTTGCCTGCTGCTACTACTCGACTGGGACCTGTCTTAGGTTGTTTACCTCAGCTTGAGGTAACTTACCCATCATTGATGACTAGTCCTCCATGGCAAAGCAGAGAGTCAGGAGCTATGTCCCTGCCGGAGGGGAACAGGCCATGTCTCCTCAGGAGCCTGTTTCTCCAAGGCCTCCTGATTATTTCCAGCCTTGGGACCCTCAGCCTGTTGGCAGGGTTACAGCTCCGGAAACCAGGCAGGGTGTTTCCCAACAGTCTCCCACAAATTGGATCTCTCAAATGAGGTCCTATCCTAGAGCCAACCAAGTACTGGGCTTTTACTGGGACCTGCACTTCATCTCACCACAGGCACTAGAACTGGGCCCCTAGAGTGAACTCGTATCTCCTCAAACCATAACAGAACCTCAAATGTCCAACAAACTGAGGGCAAAGGACAAGGTCTAGACTACGCAGAGTCTGTTCTCTGGCCATGATTTAGGGGGATAAATTGTGTTACAGGATAAGCTCTCCAACAGAAATGTAATGTGAGCCACCTATGTAATTTTAAATTTTCTAGTACCTACATCAAACAAGTAAAATGAAACAGGTGAAGTTAATATATATTTTAGTGAATCCAACATATCCAAAATATTATTATAATCTACAATATAAAAATTATTAAGATCTTCTATATAGGTTTTTGAACCAAGTCCTCAAAATCTGGTTTGCACTTTACACTTATAGCCCATCTCAATTCACACCAGTCATGTCTGAATTGCTGGTGGCCCTTGGCTACCATATTGAACACCAGCTGTAGTCAGCTCCTTGATATTTGTTGGCATCTTTACATCTACATCATAATTTGTTACAGTAGGTTCTAAAAGCATATAGCACCTTTCTACAGAAGTCATAGTTGCTCACTAACTAGCTGTTCTTGTTGAACACAAAGGAAAGGGGATGTGGAGAAGCTGAAAGAAGTCATTTTCTTCCTCAAATAATTTGTATCAGATGTATCAGATTCTTACTTTTCCCCTTTCAGTACTTCAGTGCATTTGGAAGATTTTAAGTTCTCAATTATTATTCTTAAATTTTTAAGAGCCATGAAGGTTTTAGTGAAAACTGGAGTTAGAATCTCTTTCTTATTTTTAATTTAAAGCCACCTAAATTAACATGCTAATAGGTTTTGGCACACAATCTGATATATACTTACACAAAAATACAGCAATTTACTAGCTCATTTATTGCATTTTATAAAACCTGTGATGTTACAAGAATATAAAATTACATACCAATTTCTTTCATAAACAGATAAAAACAAAACCTAAATGATGTATTAGCAAAAACAAATTCAGTATTGCACAAAAAAATTAATAGTGACTTACTTAAGAAATTTGTATTATATTTAAAATTCAAAACAAATCAATGTACTCCAATAACAGAATAAATTATCTCAATTTTCTCAATAGTTAAAGACAATAGCTGTTGGAAAAAATCAATCTTCAGTTCAGTACAAAAACTTACAGCAAATTAAGGCAACTTCCTAAATTTGATCCCATATGTTGACCAAAAAAAAAGGAAAGAAAAAAAGAGAAAAAAAAATCTCTATCAAAATACCAATACCATGATTAAAGAGTTACCCCCAACCATCTCAAGATCTGTAATTACTTAATGAAGGATGTTAATTGTCATCAGCCACCAGCGGGTGCATTCTAGCACTGATTAATGTTCAAAGAAAAGGAGAAAGAATGAAGAGAACAGAAGAAGGTCAGAAAGGAGAATGAGGTGCGGGTGAGACTTAAAAGGCACTGTTCAGGTGGGGGTGGGGCAGCAGAATATTCAAGAGCTCGGGCGACGCAGCGTCATTGGGACTACACAGTTGCAAGGATTGAAATATGGACAAAGAGTAGTAGGAAAGTAATATTTAGTGAAGGTGTAGATAGGAAAGCCATGGTTTGTTACATTAAAAAAGGAGACGGTGCCGGACTCATAGTCTAAGAACACCCCAACACGGCGAGGGGGCACCGTCATGGAGAGAAGCAGGGAGCTAGAAGAGTCCTCATAGGCTCTATATTCATGCTTATGATGTAACCCAATCACCCAGTAGCCACTTTGAGGTTGGTATCTGGAGTAAACATTCCAATTGTTTGCAAACTGGTTGAAAGAGAATGGAGGTCCCGCTGAATGGCTGCACACCCCCAGGATCCAGTCAGTCTTCTTGGTCACATCTACCTCCCAGTAATGTCTTCCTGAGGAGAAGAGCTGAGAGCCCAGGACGCCACAGTCATAATGCTCTTCCAGGTGAGATGCAGAAAGCTTGGCGCCCACAAATCTTACCTGTCTCCGGTTTTTAGACAGGACAAGATTTAAATTAGCTGTATGTGGATTCAGAGTCACGTCCACTGCAGGAAAAGGTACAACATCAGCCAATGAGGGTGAGTGCCTGGATCTTGTCACATGGAAGTGTGGTGGGGGATGGGTGGAAGTGTTATCAGATTATACCTGAGAATGTGTGGGGCATGTTTGGGGAGGATCAGGGCATGGCAGCTCAAAGAGCCCTTGGTTCTACTTACCCCAGTAGCTTTGGACATCTGTCAGTTCTGTAATGACAAAAAGTCAATCATGTTTAGAACCAACAGCCTCAGGTCCGATGTCTCTTTTCCCCTTAACTGACTGAGGGGTGTGGCAGGGAATTCTGTGAGGATGAGAGCTGGCCATTTTATTCCCCCTTAAACATGAACGGCATCTTCTTTGCACATTATATCCCACCCTCTCTGACCCTCTCTTTGCTGCTATTTGCAAATACGAACTATATTCTCTATTCTACTTGTTGCTTTCTACTACAATAATCCTACATTCAAGTTCTGTCTCCTCAACCTTCTCACCTTTGAACACTCGTAGCATCTTTTTCAGATCTGGGGCTCGAAACACACTCTTCAGCTTTGTGGGGAGATCTTCTGGCTTCTTCAGAGTCCAGTACTCACTCCTAGAGAACAGACACTATGAATCTCCCGCATGTCTGACTGCAGGTTCCTGCAGCACCGCTGCCCTCTGTCCCCCAGCTCCACTGGTGAACTTCAACATGCTTTCCTGAAGGAAATCAGCATCATTCCACAAGAGCCCTAACACTGGAGGCAGACGACATGAACAAGAAACTAGCTTCTCACTATCTGTGTAAACTTTGATAAGATTTGACCCCTTAAAACCTCGTTTTTCTTTGATTTGTTGTTTTTGTAAGACATAATAATTTTCCCTTCTCTCTCTATTTATCTTAGGGGTTGTATAAAACTCAATAAAATAATGGCTAAAAAACTCTTTGCTACCTCAAAAAGAAAAACACCAAAGTATTTGAAACATCAGTGCCAACTGAGAGGGTCTATCACAAGAGGCTAGAAATGTGTGTTGACAGGCAGAACACTAGGAACCCTGCTGGTGGGTCTTTGAGAGCATCAAGTGAAGGGCTTCTTTCTGAAGACTTTTTGACTTTAAGCCTTACAGGCTCCCAGAGGTCTAAAAAGAAATGCCTTCGGAACAGTGTCTTAGGAATTCACTGTCTCTTAGGATTCACTTAAATTTAGGATTACACCGGTTAGAGAAAGATGGCCTCATCTCCAAACTGAGAGTGTAGACTTCAGAAGAGACCAGACTCTGTATTTCACATCTCTGAGAGGAGCTCTAAGCTGCCTGGTATGTGGACAACTTTTGATGTCATCCTGAAGGATGAGATTCTAGAGTCTGGGATAAAGAGGAGAATGTTTTGATCTTGGACCAAAACCACTCTTTTCAAAGACTTCAGGTCTATATTTTTATTGGAATTGAGAAAAAAATGGAAGTGTGAAGAGAACTAGGAAGCAAGACATGGACTATTCCAAAGCTGAGGGAGAAAAGGAAATTCAAGGCAGATATCCCAAGAGTTGAACTGTGGACCCTGAGAAATGACGCAGATAGGAAACTTCTCTCTGATAAAATACATGGCAATGAAAGCCATGTGTATTTCAAGGTAGCCATAAACTACTAGAGTCAGGGCTGGAAACAGGTACAGAGGTTTCTGGAAAAGGAGTTCCATCACAGGGCACTAGAAGAATCAATGATACTGCAATCCTTTGTTTTTAAGGGCAATACTGCCCCCAATTTGTGATTTCCCATTACCCAAATTCTCCTACTATAGAAACCAGGCCATCATTCCCTCTTTTTTGGAAGACCCCAAAATTCTCATGATGAGTAACTTAAGACTCCACAGTCCTAAATCTTCCCTGCCTTGTTATTTTTTTCCCCTTTCTCACTGACTACAAGGTAACTCTATGGGTGGGTGCAGGAATCTTTTGTCACTCCAAAGGAACCACCTTGTTTTCTCCTGCACATACCTTTCCGTGACATCATTCACATCCTAGGGAGGAAAGAGACAGGGTAAGTCAATGAGTCATAGGACATCCTCCAGCACAACCTCATCCAGGTTCCTTATCCCATCCTCACTACCCTGTGATATGAGGGGAACAAGGATGGCCCCAATATGGAGGCCACAAGGTAGAGATAAGGACTCAAAGGCACACTGTCCCTGCAACCCTATACAGGGATGTGAGGAAATGGTACGAATCATTCATTAGTACCTTTATTTTTACAACTCTGTGTGTATATTTGTGTGTAATGTTATATATGTACATCACCTGCATTTGCCAGACATTGTGCCTGGTCCCATGATTGTCATAATTTCTGTCCTCAAATACTCCATCCTGGTTGCTGAGGATGCAGGGGTCTTAAAAGTGGTTGTTTCTTAAACCTCACTTCCTGTAACCCTCCATGTCCCCTTTGCTGATGTTTTCTATTTTTCTTGATTTCAGCGCACACACACACACACACACACACACACGTGTTGATTCCTAACTGTGTACATGCACCACCAACTCAAGATTTGTAAAGGAAAACTCACTTCTCCTGCAACCATGAGGTCTTCTCTATTATCTTCCACCTTCTTCAATGATACCAGCATCCCTGCAGTCACCAAATTTAGGTAAAGTATTGTTCTCCAAACCACCTTATAGTCACCCTGACGTCCTGTCCCATCTTAGACCAAACCAGTCTATTTCATATCCTTGACTTGTTTTAGCCATTAGCTTTTCAAGATCATCATTGCCACTATCTGCCTCATTTGAATAGAATTACCTCATGGCCTATTTTCTCCCTAATTTCTGCTTTGTACACTTCAGTGACTAAAGACAAGGCTGATGGTTTGATCTGTGCAACACAGGAATAACCAATTGAGATATTTTTGATTGCATTTAACAGAAACAGTACTAAAATTAGCTCACATATGGAAAGTGGTAGAGGTGGTGGATATATCAACTTATACAAAATACCTAGGATTTTAAGGCATAGTTGTACTGAGGACTCAAGTGATCCAATCAGGTGCCACTGCATGGCTATTCCTCCTATGGTTTGTTTCTCATGGTTTACATTTTGAAACTTGAAAGCTGCAGGCTTATATCTGGCTATCAAATCTTAATGGGAAACAATATTACACAGACATGGAAAAGAGAAGGACGAATGTATCTACGATGGGCAAGCTCTAGGAAAACTGACTGTGAGATAACAGTCAAATTAAAATGTCCACTGGGTAGTCATACTAATGGGTGTGAAAGTCTAGACAGATGCCTCAACTATCACTATACATCGATGATCCCTTGAACTTATGGAGCAATGTTCACAGTCTGAGGAGTCTGTGGAAGGGCTAGAACTGGGTGGGGAAGAGAGAAAACTTTAGGGTAACCTAACATCAAAGATGAAAATAGAAGTGCAAAAAGAACAAAATGAAGATGTAAAAACACAAGCACTTAATGAGGAAAAGCTCCAACAGGTAAAAAGTACCTAGGCACTGACCCCAATACGAGGGCCCAAGAGTAAGTAAATAAATGATTATTATACCAACAAAGGGAGAGCAAGAGGAAAGTAAAGACAAACAGAAAAATAAGAAAGAACCTCAAGTTTCCAGAACATCACAAGATGAGGATTCCTGCCTCAACTTCACAGTTACACTAGTCACTGTATATAAAACCATCTCTTCAGTTCGACCTCCACCGTCAAATCTCAGTTCAACTTCCACCATCAAATCTCTCTAGATTTGACAACTTGCTGTGTCCTGACCTACATATACACACCGGTGCCCAGTCTTCCTTGTATCTTAAAAGGCCAGTTTGAACTCCAATTACGACATGTCAAATGATTCCACCCTAAAGAAGAGAGTGAAAGCCAAGAAGGGCTGGTGATTACATATGAATCTCTGAGTAAACTTGAGTTTGGTATGTGTTTACCTGTGACTAAGCTGGGCATTACATGACAAATCCCAAGAGTATCAGAGACAACAGGTGCCCAATGGCCATCTCGCAGGAGGATGGGGGGCGGGGGGAGGTGGGAGATATTCCCTGCAAGGGACTTTCAGTAATGTCTGGAGGGGGTTTATTTTTTTGGTTGTCACAGCTACGGAGAAGTGCTACTGGTATGTAGTGCATAGAAGCCAGGGATTCTGCTACATCCTACAACACACAGAGCAGCCTCTCACAGCAACTGTTCTAGCCCAAAATATCAATAATGCCAAGACTAATTAATGCTACCATAGAATAACATTGGACACAGTAGATTTTCTCCACAATATCAAATGAACTTTTGGACCACCTTTTATACATAATAAAGAAAAGTGGGACATCCACTTAGCAGTTGTACTTTTAATTACCTGTGCTTTATTCATGACCTCTGCACAGCTGAATAAGAGGCACTGCAGGGTCAAAGGAATTTTGCCCACGCCCCCACCAGGATGTGAGTGCCATGTCAGGAGGACAGGAAAATTAGTCTCTCTTTGCCCTGACTCTCGGGTTGGGGTTTCCTTCAGGAGCCTTACCTGCAGCAGCTCCATTGTGGACCCCTGACACCGACGCTCCAGATCTGAAATGAGCTCTTTCAGGGCCTGGCTCTGGTGGACCAGCTCATCCTCAGCCTCTTCTATAATATTCAGCCCCTTTCTCTCTTCCTCCTCTAGCTTTTTCAGTTGCCGCTGCTCCTCTTTGTCCAGGATGCTTCTCAACTGATTAAATTCTGTCTGGATCCGATGTCTCTCAGGTTCCATCTGATTCTTCAAGGTCATGGAAGAGAAAAAGGCCGCTAGTCTGTGGAGCTGAGGGTCTCCCCTCTAAGGGGTGGGGAGTCAGGCTTAGCACTGCTTTCCTGGCCAGGTCTCACTGGTGGAGGGGGCATGGAGAGGAAGAAAGTCCTGCAAAATCTGGTTCTTCAATTCTCTCCTCTACTCTTCCCAGAACGTTAGCCTCGGGTGGCCTTATTGGGGCCTCCTAGATATGCACTGTGATTCCTGGGTGAGGGTTACATTTCAAGCATCCTCACAGGCTTCTCATGCCTCTGAATCGGCCTCCCTGTCCAATTTGGAGTGTGAAGATAGTAACACCTGGCCTGCACCTAACTTGTCTTTCCAAGTTTCAGAGCTTGAAACTGTGCTAATGGCCACGTTTCCTCTCCTATGTGATTGTCCTTAAAAAAAGATATATTGTTAAAAAACAAAGAAAAAAACACACCAACCCTGGATTCCCTTTTGATATGTTCATTTCCTAAATACCCCCTTTTTCTCCCCTGCCCTGCACCAAGAACAATAACCTTGTTTGGAAGGGTTGTAGTGAAGGACTAGTCAAAGCGAAGCTCTTCTAGCCAAGTTGGGAACAGACAGGAACAGGTTTCTTTGTCCTCAGCTCCCATGCTCTGCTCTGGTTCCCAGGACACCTTCAGAAAGACTCTCTCTCACCTTCCAGGATGCCCTCCTCGCTATGATAACAGCTTTTAGTTTCTCAGCTTCCTGCTGCTCTTGCCTGAGCCTCTTCAGAGACTCCTGGAACTTCTCCTAGAAAAAACACATTGAGTCAAGCAGGGTCTAGTGTCAAATTATCTCAGTGACTAGACAGGGAATGAATGGGATAGAATATACTGACCTCAGAAGTAGCCTGTCCTGCTCTGGAAAACAACAACAACAACAACGACAACAACAAAGAAAGCCAATATATCTTTTCTATCTTTTATACACAGGGATAGAAACCAGTGGGAACAGGATGATTCTTTTTCTTTCCAAGGCAAGAACCTGACCATGAAGTATTTCAGTTTTTTATTCTCATTGCCAACATATCCCCCTTACTTAATCCACCAAGCCCCTTTTTGCCCCCAGCAACAGCCTCCATTCAAAAGGCCATGCAGAGCTGATCCTGTGCAGCAAGAAAGAGGTAAAGTCTCTCCTCTCGGCTGGAGGGAGTTTTCTAGGTTCATTCCTTTAGTTAAATGGCAGGACTACAAAGAAATTAAATTAGAGCATGGAATCAGTTTCCTGCTAAGAACTCTGTTCCTCCCTCCTTTCCCTCCATGAGGGTTCCCACCTGGTACTCCTGGGCAACCTCCTCCATGAGGAACGTGCGGTGACCATGGTGCTCCTGAGACCGCTCGCAAAGCCAGCAAATTAGCTTCCCATCCTCCTTACAGAAGAGCTGGAGTTTCTCTCCGTGATGTGCACAAAGAATCACCTTCAGCTGCTTCCCTGAGCCCAATACCACCTCTCTGAGCCTCTGTGCTATGTTGGCCAAGTGCCGATTAGGCCTCAGGTTCCTGAGCTGGTAGCTGGCCTGGCACACAGGACAGCTGCTTTCTCCTTCTTGGCCGGACAGTGATTCCTTGCTATTCTCTGTGATGCAGGCTTGGCAGAAGCTGTGGCCACAGTCTATGCTGAGGGGTTCTGTCAGGAGCTCCAGGCAGATGGGGCAGGTCACCTCATCTTGTATGTCCACCAGCACCGTTGAAGTCATTGCAGCCATGCTCTTGGCTCCTACCTGCCCAGGCCTGGCTTCTAGGGTACTTACAGAATCCTGTGTAGATGGAAAAACAAAATAGGGTCAGAGTAAGAAAATGAGGGAGAACAAAAAAGGATGCTGACTGTCCTGGAATAAGAGGTCAGACACCTGGGGTGGTAGCAAGGGCTTCTCATTCTAACTTCAAACACACTCTTTATACCAACTCGTATGAGATATTAATTTTCAGTCTCACTAGAACAAAGATTGTAACTTCCTTTCACTCCGACTGGATGGAGGGACAAACGGAGGACCTGGAGAGGAGTGGCCTTGTGTGAGACAATATCTGTTTGACCTCTTCTCCACCAAAACACCCCTTCAGTGTTAAAAGCACCGGAACACACTGCTGTCTGGGGATTTTCGCACTTGCTGTTACTGCTTCACCTTGATATCTGCAGGACTCTGACTTCATTCAACTCTCTCCTTACACATTCCCTTGTCAGAGGAGCGTGCCCTGCTGGGCCCAGCTAAGGCTCAGTGCCCCCCCAGTCACCCTCAATATATTTACCTGCTGGATTTTTCTTATCACCACTTAATATATACCTTTAACAGTGTGAATTCTCACCAGAATATTGGCGCCATGGGATCAGAGACCTTGTTTTTGTTCGTTACTGTATCCTCCCACCCAGCACACTGTCCGCCCTAAAAGTTCTCAACTTTTGATAATAAAAACCTACAACTTCCTCATCCTTCTATGGATGAGGCCTTTCTCATGAGCCTTTACATTTCTCTTTGCCACCACTTGGGCATGGCTGCCCAGTATCAATTCCAAGATCAGAGGTATCATTTATTGTGAGGACACTTTCCAGCAGCTCTGCCCCACACAGAGCCCTCTCATCCGTCCTTCCCGAACCCCAAAGAAACAACAACGACCACAATAACGTGAGGTAATATTTTTACCACTAATACTTTCATAACAAGTTGTGATTTAGAAACCCCATTCCCCTGCTTTCTTTATTCCCTCATAGGAAAACTTGGAATAAATAAGAGTGTTTTTGGCCCTTTGATAAAGACTTAGAAAAATCAAATGACTTTATAAAAATCACACATCTTGTATATTGTAGAGTTGGCATAACTTAACGTGTCCATAGTCCTAGTTCAAAGCTCTGTCTTCAGTCTCCTAAATTTAACCAGGCAGTTAAGTGGGAAAGGTGGTGTGAGTCAGGCACAGACCTGGTGTTTTAGGAGTGTGAAAATAGGAAAGTTCCCCTTTGAGAAGGAAATTTCACCAGGGCCTGTCATAAGCTTTGACAGGAGCCTTAGCAGGCCCATGTGTGGAGGAAAGAGGGGATAGGTGGAAAGGTCAAAGAACATATATTCTAGTGATGGAACAGTCCACAGAAGAAAGACCTGAGGAGGAGATATAGGTGGAGTGGCTGGGACAAAGTGGTCTTACAGCATTTTGGAATCATTAATGGGAGAAAAGTGTAAAAATGGAGGAAGGGAAGGAATAAAGTACTGATCTGTGGCACAACATCAATCAGCCTTGGCAACATTATGCTAAGTGAATGAATCCAGACACAAAAGCCCACATGTTATATAATTTCATTTATATTAAATGGGAAATGACTGTTAATGGGTTTGGGGTTTCTTCTGGGGATGATGACATATTCTGGAATTAGATAGTAGTGCTGGTTGAATAGCTTTGTGAATACCCCCTCCCCCACCCCCTAAATTAAACTGCATATCCTTTTAAGGGTAAATTTTATGGTATTTGAATTATATAACAGTAAGAAAAATGAATGAGGAAAGAAAAAATGAGGGGTAGGTTAGCTTGCATCTTCTGTTTCAAAGTTCTCCCCATTCACAGCTTTTACACAGGTACCCAAGGGAGAGGATCTAAGAGTCAAGCATGGTACTACAGTTGGCCTGGGGAAATAGCAATGAGTGAAGTAAATGATAGTATTCCACACAGAGGTATATCATTTAGACTCCCACAGGGGGCAAATACATTTTTGAAGACATTAGACAAAAACAATCATTATTAATGGAGACAAGTATGTATGCATAAAAATATTTGTGTTAAGGAAGAGTGGAAGAAAGGCAGAAGATAATCAGAGATACCATTTTCTGATCACTTTTTGCATGCTAGGTAATGGCTGAATTCTTTACAGGCATTATATAATATAATACCATACTAATTCTATTAGGTCCAAATCCTGAATATTTTGGTCTTTAGCTTTGGAATACTAGGTTAATTCTTGATTCAAGGTGAGGTTTAATCTTCTGTGTATTGCTGAAATCAATTCCTCCCTAATCACATATTAGTGATAATTATCTGAGCTAATGTGTATAGTCTCCATAAAAAACTAGTTGTCACTACACCTATTCAGTCACTGCTCTTCAATCCTTCATTGCTCTTAACCCGTACCACGAGAAACAGAGCCTCTTCAACAGTTTTACTAGGGATTGGGATAGAGCAGAGTCTATATAAATATTTATTTTAAGAATAAATGATCTGCTGTCTCACCCCTTTAATATCTTCTTATGTCTTTTGGACCTAGGAAAAGAATTCACTATCTCAATTCATAACAAGGTTTAATAAGATGACGTACAGACTGTGAGAGAGTTGGACCTGACCCAATGGTTTCTGTGTGCCTGTCACAAGGATCATTTAAGAAATCTAGAAGCTTGTCTAAGTAGACACTAGAGATGCTAGAGCTCACTCTAACTTTATTTTTTATCTGTGCTGAGGACATTAAGATAAATGTCTTTATTGAAAAGCATCTTTATTCTCATTCTTGGAAGTTTTCAGTAGTTAAATTATATTACCATTGTCTTAACAACACACTGAGAATTTTTTCTTAGTTCTCTCTCTCTTTTTCTTTTTACCGTTCCAGCAATGAATCGCTTTCATTGGAAGCCATTCACTCTGCTTGCCTAGCCGAAGTCTTGTCTGGCCCATTTAAGAAGAGCCAGCTCATAAATGCACTGCATAGTTGAAGGCACACGATTAGTGCCCTGGTCCCAGCTGTGACCCTCATGTGCAGGAGAGGCCACAGGATGGTTGAGAGCAAGTGTGATTTCAAGTGTGATTTCATAATTTTTCTTTAGTCCCCTAGCAAATGCAAATATGCACTTAACGTACAACATGGTCAGTGTGGGTATAATCTGAGATCACAAAGTCCTGTAATTTGTAACAATTTGGGGATAAAAATCATCAAATTGCCTGCAGGAACAATACGCCCTTACAGAAGGAAGGGCCCTAGAATGTAACCAAGAATAAGAAAAACATTCTGTGAAACATAGCATGCATAGCTGTGCAGGGTAAGTACAGGGCACTGCAGGGAATCCAAGTTGAACAGTAAAACCCAGTACTTTCACCTAGTGTTTGCTGGTGCTCTTGCAGGTCCTGGACCTGTTCATCAGGTTTGCCCAGTTTACTAACAGCAATGCTAAGAGTTAGTATTAAAAGTTTGTTGTGTACTAGGCAATAATCTCATTATTATAAATGTTACAACTCAAGAATTCTTTATAACACCACTGAGTTTCCCTTTAACCCCATTTCACAGTTGTATAAACTGAGGCCCAGAGAGACCAGAAAGCTAGGCTGAGTGGTAGATCTAAGATTCAAAAGCCGGCCTTCAGGCTACAGAGCCAGTGTCCTTACTTTTCCTCTCTACTCCTCTTTTCTATAAAGGTACAGAATAAAACTGTTAACAGATTAATGAAATCAAGCACCTAATTGGTATTACAGAATATTTATCTATCATCTAAGATACTCATGCTTAACCAAATTAATCACACATATGGAAAATGGGCACTTAGTTGGTTTAATATTTCCTTACACACCTATACAATCACACTAAGAACACCAGACTATGAGGGTCTATCACCTTTATAAAAGTAGAATTATGAAAGCATATCCCAGAGTTTAGCACTGTACCTAACACAAGATGAACAATTAACTTTATAATGGGATTAAAATTATAACTTATTGCTGAGTTCCTAGATAAACTTGATGTTGGTACTAAGGCATTAAAAAAGAAAGTACTATTTTATGAAATTTTAATGTTAAACACAATTGTGTTTGAGCCATAGAGGTGTGGCTCAGTGGACTGAATGCTAGCCTGTGAATCAAAGGGTCAGGGATTCGATTCCCTGACAAAGGCACATGCCTGGGTTGCTGGCCATGTCCCTGGTAGGAGGGCGTGCCAGAAGCAACTGTACATTGATGTTTCTCTCTCCCTTTTTCTCTTTCCCTTCCTCTCTCTAAAATAGATAAATAAAATCTTTAAAAAAAATCATTGTGTTTGAAAAGATCAATAAAATATACAAGGCACTAGCTAGGATAACTAAGAAAAAAGAGAGAACACAAATTACTAAAAACAAATGAAAGAAGAGACAACATTTATTGCTACAAATTCTATGGATGTTAAAAACATAATAAAGGGCTAGTATAAACAATTCTATGTCCACAAATTTGATAACTTAAACATAAAGGACTGATTCCCTGAAAGACACAATTTGACAAAATACACATAAGAATAGACAATCTTATAAGCTTATTTCTATTAAAGAAATCGAATCAATAATTAATAACCTTCCAAAATGGAAAGCAACAGGCCCAGATGGGTTAATCTGTGAATTTTATGAAAGATTTCAGAAAGATAGAACACCAATTCTCTACAATCTCTTTCAGAGAATAGAAGCAGAAAAGTACTTCCTAACATATATTCTGAGGCCAGCACAACTCTAATACCAATACCTTGAATATAGACTCAACAATAAGGAAAAAAAACCTGATTACAAAATGAGCCACAGACCTTGACACCAGCAAAGAAGACATACAGGTGGCAAATAAGCAGAAAAGATGCTCCACATCATATGTTATCAGAAAAATCAAAATGGAAATGAACACATTGCAAGAAAAGAAAGCTGCAGACCAGCATCTCATTAATATAGATGCAAAATTCCTTGACAAAGTACGTGCCAATTGAATCCAACAATGTGTAAAA